AAGAAAGCTATCTGAGCACATCATAGAGCTATACAGAGAGCCAGCCGGCAAGCAACATTCCTCTATGGGTTCTGCTTTGAATCTGTGCTTAGGTTCCGACCCTCGCTTCCCTCAAGGATGGACTGTGACTTGGAAATAAGAGCCAAATAAACCCTTTCCAGCCAGGTGTGGTGGTGCACAGCTTTAATCCCAGCACTCGGGAGGTGGAGGCAGAGGTAGATAGATCTCTGTGAGTTTGAGACCAGCCTGATCTACACAGCAAGTTCCAAGCCAGCTGGGGCTGCAAGAAGACCCTGTCTCAAAAAGACGACGATGAAAAAAAAAAAAAAGGCAGAAGGATCTTTGTGAGATCAAGGCTAGCCTAGTCTACATAGCGAGTTACAGGCCAGCTGGGGCTACAGGGAGACACTGTCTCAAAAACAAACAAAATTAAATTCTAAAATAAACTTTTTCCTTCTCAAGTTACTTTTGGTCATGGTATTTGTCACGGCAACAGAGATCAAACTAGATCACACACACACACACACACACACACACACACACACACATATATATTATGACCTCTATTTTTAGACAAAATCCTTTTCTAGAAAAGCCAGACACTGCCTTTTGTGAAGGCAAGGGGAAAAGATGGAGTGCTGGTCCACAGGTCCACTAGCTCATGGTCCATGCTGATCCTCTGGGAATGCTTCATCCACTCCAACCAGTGGGGTCAAATTACCCAACATATAATAGAACCTGTGTTTGCTAGTATATTTTTAGCAAAAGCTGTTACTCAAAAAGCACCAAAAAGAAGATGGAAGAGCCCATGAAATGTGTCACCAGAATATAAAATGCCAGTCTGACATGATCTTTCCATAAACACCTGGGTTTTGGCTGGCCATAGGGAACTCAAGGGAAGGACTTTTTTCTCACCTCCCAGGGAGTAGGTCCTGGAATACACAGTCACTGACACATTGTCAGAGCTTCTCTGACCCACTGTATCAGTCACAGTCAGCTGGAAGATGTACGTTCCTTCTTTCAGGTGGGATAGCTTCAGTGTTCCTGGCTGAGGCACCTGTCACACAAACAGGACATATCATGTTCAGTGAGGAGAGCTGAACTCAGGGTCCAGGATCAGTGGAAATCGGTCCCTGGAATAGATCCAAGGCTATTGAATACTAAATCCTCCATCATTTTGTCTTCAGTTTGAACCCACCATTGTTATTTGAACTGACAATATCCTTGAATAATAATCCCTTCAGCTGTCTTTAGCAGCTGCTGTTCCAAACCTGTGCCTCCTCCCCAAGCTCTATACTCAGTGTCAAGTCACTTCCATCAACAGGTGGGCTCAGCTTGGTCAAGGAGAAAACCAGGCTCACAGTTATGCCTACACCACCCACCTCCTGAGTATGTTAGTGTCCAATGCCACCTGCTTCCTGACACACCACCACTCAGGAGGAACTGACCCTCCTGAGTTTGGGGTCAATCCCTCTTCCTTGACCTTGATTTTCCTTCGACTTTCAGGGCACTGATCTATCAATTGATTTCTCTTCCATCTTCTCATCTTGGAAAATAAATGAAACAAATAAGTCATCCCTGGGAGTCCAGGGCGCTCTGTAGCTTCCTTGCTTCTTGCCCGCCCTGGCTGACTCCTGAAAGTGCCAGCTGTGCTGCCCTTGTTGCTTCTGGGTGTTCATGTAGTCTTCATCGCTTATGCAGCCATATTTCATATTTTTCCACATTTCCCTGAAACTGTAGGCAAAACCCACTAACAAACCTGACAAAGCCACCTAGTTGCTAAGATCAACAATACTTGTTTCAAAAGCAAAAACACATAAGCAAAAAACCAAAGCCTTTTTAAAAAATAAGTCCTCCAGGAGCTGGAGAGATGGCTCAGCAGTTAAGAGCAAGCACTGGTTGCTCTTGCAGAGAGCAAGCAGTTCAGTTTTCAGCACCCACATAGTTCAGTTTCCAGCACCCTGGGTTCAGTTTCCAGCACCCACATAGAAGCAGGTTTGGTTCCCAACACCCACATGACAGCCATGTCCAAAACTCCAGTTCCAGGGAACCCTCTTCTGACCTCTGCGGGCATTACATGACATAGGTGCATTTCCATACATGCAGCCAATACACTCATACACGTAAAATAAAAATAATAAAATATTTTTAAGAAATCAAATGTGGGGCTGGAGAGATGGCTCAGTGGTTAAGTACTGGCTGCTCTTGCAGAGGACCTGGGTTCAATTCCCAGAACCCACATGATGGCTAACAACCATCCATAACTCCAGTTCCAGGGGAATCCAACGACCTCTTCTGACCTCCGTAGGCATTGTACTTGCATACATGTAGGTAATATCCTTGTACACATAAAATAATAAAAATATTTTAAAATTATGAGCATTGTTGTTTAAAAAATAAATCAAATGCATGTACATATGAAAAAATGTATTTCATCTCCATACAGGACTGCCACTTGCATTATTCTCAGTTTTCTACACTTTACCAATGCTGAGCCAGAAGGACCCACAAGCCAACCCCTAGATTTCCATGGAAAGATCACTTATAAGCTTTGGTCAGTTTTAAAGTCTTTCATGATTTCTCTTGAAAATCTCTCCACAAGACCAGGATGAGCTGACATGTGCAGCTGTTCTGAGGGTTACAGATAATCCAAGCTGTCTGGCACTGACTGAGCACACCTCAGTGGTGGCTCTGATTGCAATGACATCATACCAGGATGAGTGTTTACTTTTCAGGTCTTTTATAAGTTTGCACCATTGTAAGAGAATCACAACTTGGGAGCAAACAGCTCCCATGATACTGGCTTTGCCATTTAGATGATGGAGTTATAATTTTGAGTTTGTGCCTGCCATCACTGTTACACACCTGACTGAGCCAGTTTCCACTTGATGGCACAGCAATCAATCCTAAACAGCTATGAAAAAAAAATACCTAAATTTGTCGCTCCTTTATAAATACATAACTATATATATTAGATAAATTACATAGTGAGTTACTGCCATTTCTATTTAGCACTTATATATGCAATTCATTGCCTGTAGCATAAAGCTTTTAGTACCAAGTATGAAAATAAGATGACAGAGGCACAGCTGCAGCTGCTTAAACAGTTATATTGAGTGCCAAGTAATAGAGTCCATCCCAAGGGAGCTGAACTCTTGAGCGGCATCAAGGGCTTACCCATACCTTTCCTGATCAACCTCCATCCTCAAAGTTTCATTGAAGATATATTAATCATCGTGGGGGCTAGGGAGATGGCTCAGTCAGTAAAGTGCTTGCAGCAGAAGCACAATGATGTGAGTCCTTGCACACACAAGAACATGTACATAAAACACACAGAGACATACACACAGACACACAGACACACACACACAAAGGAGGTACTGGATCCTCCTTTCTCCTTAAGATACATAAATGGACTTTCCAACAAAAACAATAATAAATATGATGGATGACACTCAAAGTTCAAAATTATTTCTGTTGTATATATTAACCAAAAGCTGAGGTATAAGGAAGATAAACAGAAGGCCCTGTGCACTGGTTCAATCAGTTAACAAACACAGAAGGTAAGGAGGGACCCTGGCAGCAGTGAGATGGAAAGATGAACCAGGTGGTAGGTAATCTTGCTAACAGAAGACTCAGCATGAACCTATTGTGTGACACAGCTACTAAAACAGTTCACATAATTAACTTCATTAATAGCAGTGGAGATAATGCTTGGATCATAGGGGGTAACAGTGGGTTGGAAGAACCACAATATAATAAGGGATTCAAGTACAAGTTTCAGACTTTAAAAAAGAAGGATATATATCTAAGAAAATCCAGATTAGGCTGGAAGGTAGATGTTCTGAAAATCAATACAAGGACTTTTATAGAGAACAAAGGGATGTGTCCAGTATTTTTCCAAAGGGAAGACTTAATGCCAATGCACAGAGTGAGTTGAATACTGTTTGCCTAATCAGTATAGCTGACTAACAATGCCATAGGACATGACATATAATAGAGGGTTTCTGTTCCTGGAAAAGTCAGGCAGAGCACAGATGACCCCTGGAAGGGGTGCTTTAGAAGGGACCCTTTTTTGGGTGACAGGCTGGGAAAGATGCTGAACAAGCCCAACTCTGAGGTTATGTAATCACTGAGTAAAAACAATGTTCTTAGGTGAGTGTTGTGGACCTGGCTGATCATTGCTTTTGTTTTGGTTCCAACCTGGTATAAATTGGTGTTTCAGCATCCCATCTTCTAAACGGGAGTGCTTTGGCTAAAGTTTATGTGACTTAGGCTGGAAATGCTGGGAAATGCTGCAGCAAACCCAGATGTGCCCAGGTGAGCCTGACAGAGGACAATGGGAGCACCAGAGCAAGAACCCCCTACGGCACCCATGCCCTTGCTGCTTGGCACAAGGTTTGCAAGCAGGTTTAACCACTATGTAGGTTTCTGGATGGTGTAAAGAAATAATTCACTTTATTGTTAGCTTCCTCTTTATATTCCTTTCTTTTAAACTTTCTACCTAAATCTTTTTCTTTTTTTTTAATCTTATTTATTTTTATTTTATGTGTATGAGTGTATTGCCTGCATGTACATAAGTGTACCCATGTCATGCAATGCCCACAGAGGTCAGAAGAGGGTGTCGGATTCCCTGGAACTGGAGTTACAGATTGTTGTTAGTCACCATGTGGGTGCTGGGAACCAAACTTGGGTCTTTGTAAGAGCAGCCAGAGCTCTTAACCTCTGAGCCATCTCTCCAACCCTGTCTTTATTTTAAGACAAAGTCTTTCTCTGTAACTCAGGCTAGTCAGGAACTCATGGCGTAGTCAGGCTGGCCTTAAATTTATGATCCTCCTGCCTCAACCACCTAAGTACTGTAACTACAGGTGTGGCATCATACTTGGTCACTACCTGAATCTTATTCTAGGAGAAAGACCAAATAAAACCCTTAAAAAGTAATCTGAGTTATTGAAACAAGTTGTAAGTCTTTTCTCTTAAACTGTTTTTGTCAGTAGCAGCAGGATCATGCCAAGCTTCAAAGCAAAGGATCAAGATTACTGCTTACTACACAGAAAAGGACGTCTATAGAAAAACTATTTCTAGGATTGTCAGCTTTACAATTTCTCCATTTTATGAATGTTCTGCTTGCTTACAGTCATTTAGGAACACGAGTAGAAGGATATTACAGAAGACTACTTCCCAGAAACATCAGTTTTGTAGCAAAGATGACATGAATTACCTTCATGTCCACTGATGGGTCACCCTGCAGCAGTGTCCACTCATACTGGACAATGGCATGATCATCTATGCTTTCACGGCCATCCAGAATCACCCCGTCTGTGGGCAGGTGCAAAACCACATCCTTCCCGGCCTTGCTAAGGGGAGGTTCATCCTTTCCTACAGAAGAAAACAGTCATAAGAGACATGATTCCCTGGTTTTCTGATTTATGAAAAGGTATCTTGTCTGCCAAACAGAATTGGTCCAGCAAAGAACTGCTTAGAGAATGAATGTTAATTGAAATTTATCTTCCTAATGATTTTCATTGTGCTCTCTTTATATATCAAACAATAAACAGCAATTTATTATGATGTGGAATTTAGCTATGATACATGAAGTACCAGCTGTTTGTAGTGGCTAAAGGAAATAAATTTTTTTTTAAATCCCAGAGAGCTCACCCCAAATATTTAACATGAGAGGATGAGGAAAGCATTGAAATGTCTTGCATATTATAAAACAAATTAATTCTGCCTCTCCTAAAAGGAAGCAAGTCATTTAAATTAGGTGAGGCATATGATATGATTTATGAACTCATGTCCTCTAACTTGACCTCTGATGCATCTGAGATAATGCTTTCGCTTCGGTTCAAGCCTAGGTTAATTACACTGTAAAATGTATTTGAAATAAGCCAGAGCTTATTTATCCAGAAACAGTCCTTAAAATAGATGACAACAGAAGGGATGTGCAATCACTTACCAAGAACAAGATAATGTATTTTTGAATTTTCATTAAAAAATGTAACAGACCACATTAAAAAGTGGTCTGTTAGCTGGGTGTGGTGGCACATGCCTGTAGTCCCAGCACTTGGGAGGCAGAGGCAGGCAGATCTCTGTGAGTTCAAGGCCTGCCTGGTCTACATAGTGAGTTCCAGGACAGCAGGGGCTACAGGGAGACCCTGCTTCAAAAACACCAAAAAAAAAAAAAAAAAAAAAGTGGTCTGTTACATTAGAACACATGGAAACAGTGATTTCTTTTGGAAATGAAACACAGCTGGTAAGATCTACAAAAGTAAAATAAGATTTGCACCAATTCAGACAGAGTGCTTCAAGGTGGGTTTAATTTTCCTATCTATGGAATAGCCTGTGGATATATATATATATAGCTAGTGAGATAACTCAGTGGATAAAGGTTCTTGCTGCCAAGCCTGGTGATCTAAGATAGTGGAAGGAAAGAACCAACTCTTACAAGGTTTCCTCTGTCCTTCACACACATGCTGTGGCAAACCTTTCCACACACACACACACACACACACACACACACACCAAATAAACAAATAATGTAAAACTTGAAATTAAATTCACTGTTATATATCCAGAAGTAAGAAAGTTTTCTAATCAATTAAGTAGAGCACAAAGGAAAAGGATAGATTTTTGTACATGTTTACAAAAAGTTCATGTCAAGGAATAAGGAATTATAAACATGAGTCTAGGAAATATGATTTAAAAATATTAATAGAGCTGATGAATCAGTAAGAAAAACAAAAGTGAATGAGCAAGCTACTTGTATATGACCCTCAGGCAAGCTGTTTTTCCTGTCAGCCTTCCTATATGTTAGTCATTATAACAGGACTAGATCTTTGAGCTCTTGTGAGGTCAGAGTGAGTTCATATGTGTAAAAGGGTAAAAACAGCTCCTAGCATCAAACTCAATGAGTGTGACCAACATACAAGTTGATGGATAAGCTTTAAATCTGTTCTTCTTGAGCGTGTAATTCACCTTAAATGGACCAGTCACAACTCCACATGAGCTCTGCTAAACCATGTTGACTCTTTAGCCTCTAACTCCACATGCTCACAAGATTCACAAGGGGGGGGGGATAACAACAACAACAACAACAATAATAGTTCAAGCAGAAAAACCATAGTATTCTCAAAAACGTAAAGAACTCCAACAGGTTAAGCATCAGGGCAAGGCAAAGCAGGGTACAGAGGCTCTCCACATCTGAGCCCAGGCTGCACCTTTGACATTTCCATGGTGCTGAGGAGCAGAACTCTGGGCATGGCCATGGTCTCCCAGAGAGGAGGTCAAGCCAGTGCAACCTAGTCTCTCCAGCAGCTAGCAGAGTTTCTGAGCAAACCTTCTAGAGAAAGGAGGGCAAAGGAGGGAAGTATGTTTAGTAACTGCAACTTGGTGGTGGTGGTTTTTCTGACCAGGCTTTTACCCTGATTGCTTTCCCTTTCCCAGATTTCAGCCAGTTACTTCTAGAGGAGTGCTGAGAAGCCAGGGAAGGGATTTTGTTTCTTTGCTACTTTGTTGCTTCTGTATCTGACTTGACTCATTTAGAGCAAGCACATGCTTAAGGTAAAATCATCAAACTGGCATTATTTTGAGGTCTTTTAGGAAGAGACATGCCTTACATAGTAGCCACTTTCCACTTATATACCCACTGGTGAGCCCACCCACCTCTACGTATAGTTCCAAACCCAGGGAACACACAGCCTTCCCTAGTTAAACTCAGTGGGACACAAAATAAAACAAAAAAGCCATGAATATAGGAAAGAGATTTGCAGGGAAGAGGGGCTGACAGGAATGAGGGAGATGAGAGTGGGTTACCAGAATGCATCATTTATATGCATCATATATATATATATATTTCACTTTTATTTTCATCAAAATCAAGTCCTTTTCACTATTAAATTGAACAGTAGTTTTCCTTCCCATTTTTGTCTGAGGAAGCACCTACAGGCACAGAGCCATGCCAGGAAGCAGGGGTGGGTGTCAGGAGCAATTTTGCATCCAATTAGATTTTGCTATTGCTATTTCCTGCTTCAAATCATGCCTTACAAAACCAGAGACTAAATGAAAGAAACTAAAATAACCTTTGTTGAGAGTGGAGGCTCTTAGCTAGTCTCTTTTTAAATCGAATTTCCGTCAGTCCTGCCAGATGACCCCTTTACCTCCAACTTAGGAAAATTCCAGGCGATGCCCACAGCGCCTGCTTCTGCCCATCTACCTACTGGGCTTTCCCAGGAATCATCCTTAAGCCACTCTCTCGGTTATCCGTAGCTAAAATCATTTGGAACCGGAGGGTTTCGTTTCTAAATCGGGCGGCCTGCGCAGGCGGATCTCCCAGATGTTTGGAAAGCGCAGCCCCAGGACAAGTAAGTGCAAGGGCAGCGGGGACCCAAGCAGGCTGGCCCTCTGGACCCGTGACTGGCCCGCTTACCCTGGCTGGGTGAGGCGCCGGCGGTGGCGGGGACTGGTTCCCCGGCTTGCAGGCCGGCAGCTGGGGCGCGACTGAGGGTGTAGGTGCGGTACCCGCGGTGGGGCGCGAACCTGCAGACGCTGCGGCCGCGCGCGGTGCAGTTGAAGAGGTAGCAGCCTAGCGCGGCGCCCGGGGCGGCGGGTCTCCGGGGCAGCTCCAACACCGCCACGGAGCAGCGCGGCTCCGAGCAGCAGGCCGCCACGCACTGTCTCCAGTCCCTCACGGTGGCCGGCGCGCTCAGAAAGCGGGCGCCCGCCGCGATCGAGTCCTTGGTGCGGATGATGGCGTCGGGCGCCGCGCTGTAGCCGTCGCCGCCGGGGCCGGGGCAGTCCTCCCGCCGGCCGCCGCCCGCGCGCAGCTCCAGCTCCAGCTCCTCGTGCGGCCGCTCCTGCTGCAGCTGTCGGTGGAAGTCCTCCAGCAGCTGCTCCACGCCCGCCAGCTGCGCGTGCAGCTCGGACAGCGGCGCTGCGGGAGCCCCGGCCGCTCCGGCGCTCGGCAGCCCCAGGCAGAGCAGCAGCAGCAGCGCATGCAGCGCCCCTGCTCCCGCGCGCTCCCGGGCCGCCATGGCTCCGCAGAGACGGGCGCGCGGCGGGCGACGCTGCCTGGGCTCCTCCTAGGCCCCAGGCCTCAGAGCGCGGCGCCCCCGGGGCCCCGCTGCTCCGCAGAGGCCGGCGCGGAGACCCCGGCAGGTGTCCCGGCTGCGGGAGGCATAGCGGGCCCGGCCAGGCGCGGCCCTCGCCCTTCCCGGAGGCTGCCGGAGCGCCGCGCCTCTCCGCACCGACGTGGTGCCTCGGCGTGGATCAGCACCGGCGAGCGAACAGAGGTTGCGGCGGGGCGGAGCCTAGTGCGGAGGGGCGGCTAGGGGGCGGCTAGGAGGCGGGGCCTGGCGCGGAGAGCAGGCAGGGGGCGGGGCCTGGCGCGGAGGGACGGCCTGGGGGCGGGACTTGGCTCCGCCGCCCTACGCCAATAGGTCACCAGCTGTGCAAAGACTCAACTCCCAGGACTGCCTGGCTGCTCTGGGGCCCTGCCCACCCTGGCTGGGCACTTGGGGTGGGAGAGCAGAGTCGAGCTGTGTGCATCCGTCCTGATCTCCTGCTGCTCCACGGAAGGGCCATGCAGTCAGGGAACTACAGGCAGCGTTGTCGGTCTTTTGCATCCAGCTTCTCCTACTTCCACACTGGGTTCCCAAGATGTTGTGAAAGGGTGAAGTGGGAAGTTTTATAGGATGTTTTGTCTGTTTAGAAATACAAAAAACCAGTAGTCACATTCGTAGATTTCCATAAAAATAACTAAAAATGGGAACGCCGCTAATTCTGGAGACAGCATGAGCTTTCTCTATAGCCTAGGAAAGGCCAGACCTTCAGCTGTTAGCGTATGCAAAATCTAGGGGTGTGTTTTATGTGACATAAGGTCTAAGAAATGCCTTAGAGTTCCAGCCACCTGTGAGTAACCTCTGTATTCTGTTTGTTTTGAGTCTGTGGCTGAGGTTTGTGTGTGGGTGGCGGGGGCATCTCACCATGAAGTTCAGGCTACCTTGAATTTGTGATCCTCCTGCCTCAGCTTCCCAAGTGCTGGGGTCACAGTTGTGTGCCACCGATCACATCTGTCTTTGCCAAAACTTTCACATACATGATTTCATATGGCCTTCACAAAGATTTTGAAATGGACACAGGGCCCTCATTCTGGCCTGCAGAGTAGGGTCTTTTTGACAAAAGTGGAAATTGCATGTTTTCTATCAACAGATTAGGGTCCCAAAAGGAGGGATTATTCACTTTTTTTCTTTTTTTTTTTCTTTTTTTTTTACTTTATAAGACTTTGTATCAGTTGGGTTTTTTTTTTTCTAAACAAGGAGCTTGTTGTAAACCAATTTTTAAATAAAAATTATCTTTATTTTATGTGTATGACTATTTTGACTGCATTTATGTAGGTCCACTGTGTCATGCAATTCCCGTGGGGGTAGAAACATGTATCAGATGCTCTGGAGCTGTAGTTACAGAAGGTTGTCAGATGCCATGTGGGTGCTGGGAACCAAACCCAGGTGCTCTGCCAAAGCAGCCAGTGCTCTTAACTTCTGAGCCATTTCTCCAGCGCCCATAAATCAATAATAAAAAAAAATGGGTTTTGACTTTTGCTTCAGCCAAGCCAAAGTAAACCTCTAACATGAAGGGTAAATCTGGGGAGAGATGCATATATAGTTTTCAGATATTGAACAACAGTCAATAAAAGCATCCAAGAGATGGATGTCTCCAAGGGAGACAAAAGAGGTGGGCCTCATGATGACCCAAATGACTTTCTGGAGAGTTTCCAAGTTGCAGCACAGATAAGGGGACCCAAGGAAAACCTGGTGGTCTCCTTGAGAGCATAGAATTGAGAATTCAGGAAGGTCAGTGTGGCTACATTCACAGGGCACAAAGCTATGCAGAGAGAGAGGCCTGGGTGTGTACACAAGGGTTGGTTTAGTCTTTATGCAAGTGCTGATCAAGTTCATGCATGTGAGACCATGTGCAGAGCTGGAGAAAAGACTGGGAAGGAGCAGGCAAACAACTGCAGAGCCTGCACAGGCCTGGGAACAGTTCCCCTTTCAACAGTCAAAGCAAAGAAGCCTTGTGATTTAGGTGTATGGAGCTGAGGAGATGAGGCTTACAGGGAGGCATGAGGAAATTAAGCAGGCCATCAGTATGTCCATGGTCTTGATTGTGGTGATGATTCTGCTGGAGAATGCAAATGTCAAAGCTCACCAAACTGTACATTTTAAGTAGGTGTAATTAATTATACTTAACAGTTATTTAAAAGCCAAGCTTTGTTACTTTATGTATTATTTAGAAGATTTGGATTATAATGGGTAATAAAGGAAATAACACGTTTACCTTCATTTGGGAGGCAGAGGCAGACTCTGTGAGTTCAAGGCCAGCCTGGTCTACATAGTGAGTTCCAGGCCAGCTGGGGCTATAGGGAGACTCTGTCTCAAAAAAACCAAAGAACAAAAAACAAAACAAAAAAGAACCTCCCCAAAATTTACCGTTGAATTAGAATTCGACTTTCAGTTTTTTTTGTTTTTTTTTTTAAAGCTTAAACATTGGAACCTATGCAATGGATAGAACTTTTATGTGAGGAGACAAATTCTGGAATGAACATTTCTGTGTCAACAGAACGTTAAGGGTGAGGGTTGAGCAAATTGCTGTTTGTACATCAATTTGTTGAGTGTTATAATGGATGGCACCTGTCTTAGTCTGGGCTGATAGAACACAATGCCATTCAGAGGGTGCTTTATGAACAACAGAAACTTGTTTCTCACAACTTCACAGGAAGTTGAAGATCAAGGTACCTTCAGATCCGTTCCTAAAATCATAGATGGACATCTTCTCATTGTGTCCTTATATGGTAGAAGCAATGAGGGAGCTCCCTGGGGTGTCTTTTACCCTGATCCCACTCATAAGAGTTCCACTCTCATAATCTAATCATTCCCCAAAGTCACCATCTCAATGGTAGAGTATGTAGAATGCACAAGGCCTTGGTTTAACCCTGTCACCACACACACAACACAAACATGCATATACACATATCACACATACACACATGTGCACACACTCTCCATCCCCTTACACTATCACATGGAGAATTAGGTTTCAACATATGAAATTTAGGGGTTACAAACTTTCAGTCTATATTGACCATGTTAAAAGCTCATAAACATTAAATGCATCCATGAAGTGCTTAGAAGGGCATATAGCACATGTAGAGACTCACCTATTATTATTTTTGGTCTCATTTTCTTTTGTTAAAAAATATTTTATTTTTTAAAAATTTTTTGTGCATGACTGCATTGCCTGCATGTCTGTAAGTGTACCTGTGTCATGTCATGCAATGCCTGCGGAGGACAGAAGAGGGGGTCCGATTCCCTGGAACTAGAGTTGCAGACAGTTGTCAGTCACCATGTGGGTGCTGAGAATCGAACCCAGGTCCTCTGCAAGAGCAACCAGTGCTCTTAACCACTGAGTCATCTCTCTGGTTCCATTTTCTTTCTTTCTTTTTTTAAGAGGATCAAATCGTTTGTTGACTACACGTGATAATGGATGATACACAAGCTTCATTCCCATCTAATATTTTATCTGGTACCATGATTCAATTTAGATATTGCATAGGATGTGTCAACAACCATTTTTTAAAATTATTTTTTGTGTATGAGTGTATTGCTTGCATGTGTGTAAGTGTGCCATGTTGTTCAGTGCTTGTAGAGGTCAGAAGATGGTGTTGGATCACCTGGAACTGGAGTTATGGATGGTTGTTAACCACCATGTGGGTGCTGAGACTCGAACCTGGGTCCTCTGCAAGAGCAGTCAGTGCTCTTAAGTGCTAAGCCATCTCTCCAGCCCCCCAAAATACATTTTATATATAGTTCTCTAACAGTATTTTGAGAATATTATTATAGATATGATGACATAAAAAAGCATATT